ACATATGCCCTTCATGATTACACCTAGATTGACAGATTGAGATAAGTTTTAAACATTTCATGCTCAAACATGAGGAGCCTTGTCTCAGCGGGACAGAACAAGTATAGCGCAAATATGGTCGGAATTACGCCAAAATAGCAATCAGTTGGACAAGAAGTCGCACTTTCTTTTGTTGATGTATCCCGAAGTACTGCAAGTATGGATATGAAACTTACATCAATGGATAGAGAAACATACGCCCTTCATAATGACACCTAGAGTGACAGATTGAGATATTTTTAAATATTTTATGCTCAAACATGAGGAGCCTTGTTTCAGCGGGACAGAACAAGTATAGCGCAAATATGGTCGGAATTACGCCAAAATAGCAAGCAGTTGGACAAGAAGTCGCACTTTCTTTTGTTGATGAATCCCGAAGTAGTGCAAGTATGGATATGAAACTTACAAGAATGAATGGAGATTCATATGCCATTCATAATGACACCTAGATTGACAGATTGAGATAATTTTAAAATATTTTATGCTTGAACATGAGGAGCCTTGTCTCAGCGGGACAGCACCCGTACAGCGCAGACAAACTCAGAATTACGTCAAAATAGGAAACAGTTGGACAACAAGTCGCACATTCTTTTGCTGATATATCCCGAGGTACTGCAAGTATGGATATGAAACTTACATGAATGGATAGAGAAACATATGCCCTTTAGAATGACACCTAGATTGACAGATTTGGATAATTTTTAAATATTTTATGCTCAAACACGAGGAGCCTTGTTTGAGCGGGACGGCACCCGTATAGCGCAGACAAACTCAGAATTACGCCAAAATAGCAAGCAGTTGGACAACAAGTTGCACATTTTTTTTGCTGATATATCCCGAGGTACTGCAAGCATGGATATGAAACTTACATCAATGGATAGAGAAACATATGCCCTTCATAATGACACCTAGATTGACAGATTGAGATAATTTGAAAATATGTTATGCTCGAACATGTGGAGCCTTGTCTCAGTGGGACGGCACCCGTATAGCGCAGACAAACTCAGAATTACGTCAAAAATATTTCTTGAAGTACTACCAGTGTGGATATGAAACTTACATCAATAAATAGAATAANAACTAGATTGACAGATTGAGATATTTTTTTTAGATATTTCGTGCTCAAACATGAGGAGCCTTGTCTCAGCGGGACAGCACAAGTATAGCGCAAATATGGTCAGAATAACGCCAAAGTAGGAAGCAGTTGAAAAAGAAGTCGCACTTTCCTTTGTTGATATATCCCGAAGTACTGCAAGTATGGATATGAAACTTACAGCAATGGATAGAGAAACATATGCCCTTAATAATGACACCTAAATTGACAGATTGAGAAACTTTTAAAATATTTTATGCTTGAACATGTGGAGCTTTGCATAAGCGGGACAGCACCCGTACAGCGCAGACAAACTCAGAATTACGCCAAATTAACAAGCAGTTGGACGAGAAGTCGCACATTCTTTTGTTGATTTATCCCGAAGTACAGCAAGTATGGATATGAAACTTAAATCAATGGATAGAGAAACATATGCCCTTTATAAATACACCTAGATTGACAAATTGAGATACTTTTAAAATATTCTATGCTTGATCATGTGGAGCCTTGTCTCAGCGGGACAGCACAAGTATAGCGCAAATATGGTCGCAATTACGCAAAAATAGCAAGTAGTTGGACAAGAAGTCGCGCATTCTTTTGCTGATATATCCCGAGGTACTGCAAGTATGGATAAGAAACTTACATGAAAGGATAGAGAAACAAATGCCCTTTATAATGACACCTAGATGGACAGATTGAGATACTTTTAAAATATTTCATGCTTGAACATGTGGAGCCTTGTCTCAGCGGGACAGCACACGTACAGCGCAGACAAACTCAGAATTACATCAAAATAGGAAGCAGTTGGACAACAAGTCGCACATTCTTTTGCTGATACATCGCGAAGTACTGCAAGTATGGATGTGAAACTTACATCAATGGATAGAGAAACATTTGCCCTTCATAATATCACCTAGATTGACAGATTGAGATAATTTTAAAATATTTTATGCTTGAACCTGTGGAGCATTGTCCCAGCCGGACAGCACCCGTACAGCGCAGACAAATTCAGAATTACGTCAAAATAGCAAGCAGTTGGACAAGAAGTCGCACATTCTATTGCTGATATATCCCGAAGTACTGCAAGTATGGATATGAAACTTACATCAATGGATAGAGAAACATATGCCCTTCAGAATGACACCTAGATTTACACATTTAGATAATTTGAAAATATTTTATGCTCGAACATGTGGAGCCTTGTATCAGCGGGACAGCACAAGTAGAGCGCAGACAAACTCAGAATTACGTCAAAATAGCAAGCAGTTGGACAACAAGTCGCACGTTCTTTTGCTGATATTTCCCGAAGTACTGCAAGCATGGATATGAAACTTACATCAATGGATAGAAGAACATGTGCCCTTCATATGGACACCTAGATTGACAGATTTAGATATTTTTTTAATATTTTATGCTAGCACTTGTGAGGCCTTGTCTGAGCAGGACAGCACAAGAATAGAGCAAAGAAAATCAGACTTACCAAAAAATAGCAAGCATTTGGACAACAGGTCGCACTTTCTTTAGATGATATTTCCCGAAGTACTACCAGTGTGGATATGAAACTTACATCAATAAATAGAAAAACATATGCCCTTCATATGGACACCTAGATTGACAGATTTAGATAATTTTGAAATATTTTATTCTCTAACATTTTGAGCCTTGTCTCAGCGAGGCAGCACCCGTACAGCGCAGACAAACTCAGAATCACGCCAAAATAGGAAGCAGTTGGACAACAAGTCGCACGTTCTTTTGCTGATATTTCAAGAAGTACTGCAGATATGGATATGAAACTTACATTAATGGATAGAAAAACATGTGCCCATCATGTGGACACCTGGATTGACAGATTTAAATAATTTTTAAATATTTTATGCTCGAACATACAGAGCCTTGTCTGAGCAGGACAGCACAAGTATATAGCAAAGAAAGTTAGACTTACCCAAAAATAGCAAGCAGTTGGACAACAAGTCACACTTTCTTTTCCTGGTATTTCAAGAAGTACTGCAAGTGTGGATATGAAACTAACATGAATGGATAAAGGAACACATGTCCTTCATAATGACACCTAGATTGACAGATTTAGATTTTTTTAAGATATTTTTTGCTCGAACATGTGGAGCCTTGTCTCAGCGGGACAGCACCCGTATAGCGCAAAGAAAGTCAGAATTACGCCAAAATGGCAAGCAGTTGGACAAGAAGTCGCACTTTCTTTTGCTGATAGTACCCGAAGTACTGAGAGTATTGATATGAAACTTACATGAAAGGGTAGAGGGAAAATTGTGCCCTTCATAATAAAACCTAGAGTAACAGATTGAAATAATTTTCAGATATTTTATGCTGGAACATAGAGAGCCTTGTCTGAGCGGCACAACACCCGTATAGCGCAGACAAACTCAGAATTACGCCAAAAAGCAAGCAGTTGGATAACAAGTCGCACTTTCTTTTGCTGATATATTCCGAAGTACTGCAAGTATGGATATGAAACTTACATCAACGGTTAGAAGAACATGTGTCCTTCATAATTACACCTAGATTGACAGATTTAGATAATATCTAAATATTTTATGCACGAACATGTGGAACCTTGTCTCAGCGGGACAGCACCCGTAGAGCGCAAAGAAAGTCAGAATTACCAAAAAAAGCAAGCAGTTGGACAACAAGTTGCACTTTCTCCTGCAGATATTTCCCGAAGTACTGCAAGTATTGAGATGAAACTTACATCAATGGAGAGAAAAACATCTGCCCTTCACGATGACACCTAGATTGACGGATTTAAATATTTTTCTAGATATTTTATGCTCGAATATATTGAGCCTTGTGTGAGCAGGACAGCACAAGTATAGAGCAAAGAAAGTCAGACTTTCCGAAAAATAGCAAGCAGCATATGTGCCCTTAAAGATGACACCTAGATTGACAGATTTAGATTATTCGTAGATATTTTATGCTCGAACATCTGAAGCCTTGTCTCAGCGGGACATCACCCGTATAGCGTAAGCAAAGTCAGAATTACGCGAAAATAGGAAGCAGTTGGACAACAAGTCGCACTTTCTTTTGCAGATATTTCCCGAAGTACATCAAGTATGGATATGAAACTTACATCAATGGATAGAAAAACAGATATTTTATGCTCAAACATATGGAGCCTTGTTTCAGCTGTACAGTACCCGTATAGCGCAAACAAACTCAGAATTAATTTATTCTTAACCTTGAAATAGTTTGTCATCCTTCAGTAAAAAAAAAAGAAAAGAAAAGAAAACAGAGCAAAGAGAAAGTCGGATTTCGCAACTATTTAATTATCCGGCTGATTCTTGTTCCAATTTTTGTCCAATTTCTGTCGAAGGCGATTGAAGAGGTTCCCCATTTGTGGCAGATTTGTCATCTCATAGATGTTCTCTGTGGTTTATCCTGGCAATTTCCAAGTATACTCCCGCTCCTCCAGACAATTTTCACTGCATTGTTACCCTCGGAATAATCGGTCTTCAGTTCAGTCTTCCTAACGTCATCAGCATCAGACTTCCAGTATAGTTTGTGTTTCTGAATAAAACACTGTAGACCCTATTATCATTGTAACGGTGTCTTTTCTTCAACTGGATTTACAAATGATTATTAGAAGGATCAAAATTAGAGCAGGAGAAGCTCAAACATTGTTGTGGCTGACGTTAACGTTATTTATTTCATGGAGACAATGCTGATAGTTGGTTGCAATGCTGATAGATCAATATTTTTTTGTTCAACTGATTTTTTCCTCCCCAATCTCATTTGTGTCAATTTGAATTGTGAGCCAATTAATTGAAAGTGACTAGGCTCACTGAACTCTTACGAAGAGAATTAAGCGTAGTTGGTATAAAATAACCTACCTTTTGTTGGCGAGTCCAGGTCATTGTCACCATCACTGTCACTGATCACTATGACATCAGCTGCACAGAAAAGCAAAAAGAAATATATGACGAGACTGATAAACTTGTACAAGAGTCAGATTTGTCAAAATATTTTCATCCGAAACCTTAACCCTAAAATGGCTCTCCTTTCTCCTCCTGGCCCCTTGATATCCCGCTGAAGACCCTTTTAACATTCTGTATAAGAAAGTGTGTTAACTACAAAGGGTCTCGGTTTTCATTCATTCATTCATTCAGTGACAAATGAAAAACACCGCGAGACTGAAACTAATTACACCATTAATATTTCAAATGTGCTTTAAAAATTAAAATTAATGCTTATAATTACCGTCTATTATTTTCTTCTTCGCAGTCGTGTTGCTTCGAATATCATTGGATCGTGGCCTCTTTTTGGTTGTTCTTTCTGATGTAAAAATCAGAAGAATGAACAGAGAGAAACCTGCATTAATAGCTTTAAAATGTTCATTTTATCTTCACCACCGTATGGTAAAATGCGTTGATCGAGTCTGCACGTGAATATTGTAACGTGAATGTCTGGTGACCTTTAAAACTCTAGAGGAATGGCAGTGGGGTTGAGCAGTGATGCGCTTAATTAGGTTTCAGGTTAGGTCCCGGAGTTTGGAAACCGGGGGCCGTCAAGTATGTCCAGTCAGTCAGGGGTATGGAACAAAGGGGTATAAGTGTATTGTCAGTGGATTTGCCAACGTGTTTTCAGTGAGTAAATTATGTTGTGGAAAGTGGGAAACTGAACTAATAATCCTGCCATGATGGGAAAAGGGGGGGGGAGAGTTTGACAATATCCGGAGTATGATAAAAATTAGTAAGTGGACGAAAGGTTGAAAAGGGGTATTGTGGACCATTGTTTTGCATTTTAGTGCTAAGATGGTGTTTTCCTGACTGTGGAAAACAGGGGAAGGAATTAAATAATGTCAGAATTGAGAAAATTAGTCAGTCTAAGTCGAGCTGCGGAGGAGTTCAGATTGGATCGACTGACACAACTTTGGTACCGGGATTTAGTTAATGTGATTAACGATTGTGACTGAATTGTTAGTTTATCTTGGATTGTGCAAAAGGATTGGGTACTGACGGGACGTTTGTAACTAATTCATGTGAGTACATGAACCGGTACTATACCTTTAGTTAATTTTGTGACAGTATATCTCGGCAGGGCGAGGGGGTGCGCGATGGGTCCTCATGCCCCCCTCCTTGCCGTTTGTAAATGTTTAACATTAGTTTGTTAGGGTACCTCACGCATTGAGGAAGTGAGTGGAAGTGAATAAACCAGCTAGAAGTAGATGGTATAACACATATCTTTACCGGGCGTGCCATTCCGTTCAGCGTCCCTTGTCCTTGGTATAACAGGCGGTATATTTCCACCCAAACGGATTCAGGCCATGGCCAAATCACGCGCGAGCGGCGCCGCGACCGGGCTGAGTGGCCCTGCGAGCCAAGGGCTCACTGACTACGGAGGAGAAACCGCCACAATTTTTTTTTTCATTTAAATACCTGGATCTACCCCATTTTGTAAAAGTATGTGTACACTTGGTCCCATCTGTCATATTTGATAAGGATTTTAAAGATTCAAGGCGAGAAATTTGCTAATTCATGGTGTGCTGAGTCTTGGGTGTATGGAGTTACTTTTTAAACGATTTTCCGCTCCGAATCGCACGTTCGTTTCATTATTTGACTGGAAATACATTTGAGCCCCGCAGGGGGACGGAAGGTGTTGTGCGACAATCGCCCTCTACGTTCAAACCCTTCTCATGCAGCGACGGCTTGCAAATCCTTGGTTTCTCAATTGCGTGAAGATAGACCACGATCCACGAACAGTTGGCAATAATTTCTATTGATAATTTATTGACTTCAGCTGTGACTCGGAGTGTTTAAACCCGTATGATATATTTCTTATTATAGGACGTTCACTTGTTTCAGAGGGGTTAATCATCGAGATGAAAATTGTCTTCGGGAGAGATTTTTTGTTAACCTGCAATTTTCCAGCCAGTACGCAGCGTTGAGCTCACGGCTTTCGTTTATTCGGTACGTATTCATGAATCGCTCAGTTTTGCATATGTAATGAGATCAGAGATCATATTTTCAAAACTTATTTTCGCACAAACTCGTCTTCAGCAAATTAGGCCTATGTTAGTTGACTTTGTAATTTGAAAGGATTCAATGATTTCCTTAAACTAGTTTATTATTTTGGGGGTACTTCGTTTTGTGAAATATTGACGCAAATCATCGATGTCCACGTGCAGAAATGATGGTCAACGGAAAACGTCTCATTTTCTCGCCAAATTAAATCATGCAAAATACATTTACACATGACTACTAAGTTTGATTATCAATTTCCACATTTATAATTCGCTACCATATTTCAGAAAATGATTGAAAACGGTCAGAAGCACCTGAAAAACAGTGACCATTGCGAGTTCTGATCCACAAAATTGCACGGTCTTGAAGAAGTGAGAATTGGTTAACGCAAGGAATAATCCCACACACTGATTAATCGCGAAGAATGAAGTACACGTGCGAAACAGCGTGGCAGTGGCGGGTAACAGGACTGCGCAGGGGCTACTTTATAGAAAATTGACCGGTGTTTGATGATACCCGACTAATAAACTCGTGCAGTCAACCCAGTGACCAATGCATGAGCTATTGACTTCTGTGGGGTTTACCCATACCTTTAGAGAAACAGACACCGAGCTTTCAAATTTCCATTCGCAGAGATTACTTGACATGCCGTGCCAACTCACCAACGCATCGCCCGCATATACGCACGCGTTTGTGTGACGGTCGGTTGTGCATGCTGCAACTACACGCGCACGTGCAGTAAGTTTTGATCGAACATGAAGAATTTATTATTATTATTATTAATTATTCGGCCAAACAAGATTGAACAAAACAAACTAGAACATGTATATTAAAACGCAAAAGACAAACATCAAACAAACCAAAAGAACCCACTTTAAGGTGGTCAGGATTAATAAAAGTGAAAATAAACCACTGCAGCTCGAAAGCCATTTAATCCATCCTTAAAGTGGAACAAAACACATTAAAGGTAGAAAACTATAATGGCAAGAGAATCACTGGAGAAAAAAAGAAAGTAGAATAAGAAGTATAGGAAAACAAAACCATTAATACGATGAGACTAGAATTCTTAATTGGTGGCCTAAAAATTGGGATATTGCATAAGGGAAAAGAATGGTCAATTGGAAAAAAAAGATCCGTTTGAGTTACAGATGTAATTGCATTTCTCAAGGATATATCAAAGGAAATCTCAACAAATGTTAAAATAGAAACGATGCATGAAGAATAATAGAACTATAAATAGGAAGGATAATGACTTAAAAAAACAATAAAATCAATGATAAGTTTATGGCAAGAAGTAAAGGACACGTCACTTAAATACCCTGAAAGTGGTCACACAAGTAGGTACTGAAATGCTTAAATGAATCCAAAGTGAGGACATCTTTGACACTGGTTGGCAGGTTACTCCAGACCCGAGGAAATGAATGAATTGAAGTGTTCTTAAGGCTTAGGGTTCTAGCATATAGATGGTTGAAAAGAAGTGTATCCATGTGACGAGTGTTGACAGAAGTATTTTGGTTGACGATTGGACAATTAATTAACCTGAACACTGACATTTTGCTGAAAACTGAACAAGGAGTCTTTGCCTTCGAGATTCAAGGGTTTGCCTGTACGCGTACCCAAAAGGAACTTAATTGAGACAAAATTTGAATGGCGGGACGCTTCGTTTCTAATAACTTTGTTGAAAAAGGGGCATGTTAAAGGGAAGGATTCCTTCCAATTAAAACAGTCGGACGTCACATACAGTAATGACTTCAGGGATGGACTGTTCGAGCATGGACGTAGGCCTGCATGATGGAACATGGTGAGGACTTGACCATACATTCCCAGAAGGCCTCGGCGAATACACTGAAGCGTTCGAATAGCTTCATTTCCAGGCGTGTATACGTAACACTGGTGTCTTCATTGCCTTTGATCAAGGCACCCGCGGCAAAATGGATTGTCGCTCAAGAGTGAGGAGCTGGAGGAGACTAGTTTAAGCACCAAACCAACGCACGAAGAAAGACTACCGCACGAACCTCACGCACGCCCCAAACGCCTTTGGAGTTGTGCCCCACGTAGCTTATGTTTTCTTTTACATTTGCTACGGTAGCAGATATGATGTATGCGTATGCGTAGGTCTCCACCAATCAAAACAATTGCCTCTGTGGCGTATGTAATAAATTTTTCATCATTACAATGGCGCGCGTATTCAACACGGCGTCCTTTCCGGCAGTGGTGTAAACTATATACCGACAATCTCTTCCAGAATTGCCTCAAATATGCAGCACCGAAGCTTGGGATTCCGATAGACAAATTAAACCACGGCAAATTTTGGCCGTGAAGGCTCACCTGGAGGGTCGAGACGTATTTGTCAATCTTCCAACTGGATATGGGAAAGTTTCAAATACTTGGCCGCACCGTTGTGGAAAGACTCCATGAACGCAACGTAAGTTGCCTAGCCTACTCGGACTATTTAGCCCCCCCCAAAAAAAGACCATGGTTGGTTCAAAGAAATGTGAGTAATTCATGCTCATATCATAAGGCATGACCAATTAATCCACATAATGTGTGTTATAATATTTTTTCTGTTTGTTTTACTGAGCTGGACCTTCTAGTGTAGGCTAGTACCTGTTTGGTTAGGCCCACTGTCTGTTTTGTTGGACGGGGTACGCAGCTCTTGAGTGCCTGGTGAACAGGATGGACTTGCCAAACTCTTTGCTGTTGGAGATAGACTGCTGATACTGTCTGCTCGAAAGGTACTTTCTAGGAGTGGATTAAATTGAAAAAGACCTAAATCAATTCAAGTTAAAAATGGTACTCAAATAAAACGATAAAAACCGGATGATTGGTCTAGATCATAATTAAATATGTAGGCCCTAACATCATAAATTGTACAATAATAAATGTTTATAAGTACAAAGGAAAAAAATCATTCCATGATGACAGAGTGCCCCGTTCGACTTGACAAAGTCTCATAGCAAAGATTTGTAAACAGAACACTCATTCAGCTACCAATTATATAATAATTATTGCATGAATGTTGAATGCTGTTTGGTTTATACATCACCCGAATGGCTGCGTCTGAATCACTTGGCTGTGGCTTTTAAATTACACACGAGTCTATGGTCGTGACTGCAGCTATTTCCCATAAAGATATGCGCAGTTTCAAGCCACAACCAAGTGATTTGGACGCGGCCTACATTATGTAAACTATATGTATGAGGATGAGCTGCCATTTTCTTTGAAGATAAAGTAAAATGGTTTTCAAGTTCTGCTTTAGTTCATGCTTGAACAGACAATCCGGCATGTTTACAATTTGCTCTTATTTTGGGGAACTTTAGAACCATAATTGGTATCACTGAACTTTCGGCATTTGTGTGAAGAGCCGTCAACTGGCCATCTTCAACAAAAATTCTTTTGCTATTGACTTTTACCCTTTATTTTTATACTTTTGCTTGTATTTTACTCAATTTCTTAATTTAGACTGCAAAATACGTGTAAATGTAACTTACCTTGTGACTTTTTGTCACACGAATTCTTTTCCACATTGACTGGGACATCTCCTGGAAAAAATAATAAAAAGAGAAAAACGGTATGTACATCACCTGAGCACTTAAATGGACGCTTAAAATGTACATGATGGGTAACTTAATTCTGCTCCGTTCTTTCAGGTGTACAATTTAACAACGTATATATTTAAATGAAGATTGAATGAATTTCAAGCAGCATGACTTAAAGTTCCTACCAAAAGAGCCCCCATTGCTAGGAAAAAACCTGCCCTCTCTCCCTCCAACCCAATTGGAGTACCTGTGTTGCTGTTATGAAGTGTCACATTGTGGGCTCCACTGACGCAGACTTTCACTACTGGAGAAAAAGAAAGAAAAGGTATTACTTCATAAGAACAGCCCTGAGAATAGCAGAGAGCGATCAATTCATTTGAAATACATGTAGCTTTAAAGCTACATGTACTTTCAATGGCCTGATCGTTGTTCTTATGAAATAATTGACAATGGTTAAAAGAAAAATTTACTTTATTGTGCGGAGATCGGTTTTTCAGCGTATTTAGACTGAAATGCAGTTTTTTGTTACGACGTAAACGTTCGTGTGCAAGTCTATTGTTTACACAGTCGTAACCCTGGACATGTATTACTCATGAAGCATAACGTGACTAGCCAATCACCTCGATCCTTTGGCGCATTATGATCGATCATTTGTTGTAATGATTTATTACTGTGAATCATTAATCGATTCTTTGTGTATTGTTGGTGTACTAAGTGGAGTCGATCCTTCTTGGGCGAGTATCATTACGGTATCGATAGAACCCGCCATGGTCGCGAGGGTGGGTTTCTCGCAATTTCTTGAAGTTAGCTGTCTTGAGTTTTCGAGCCTCGAGAAGAGGACACTTTTTTGTCTCCTGACCTGTGACAACAATCGCTCATACTGAGGCTATGAACTCCGAAACGAGAAACGTCATCTACAAAAGGTTTAATCGTATTTAAAATCACCTCCCTCACTCAAGTGTACTACATCGGCTGATTAACTTCTCTAAGCTTGTAACATGCTTTTACCTTTGACAAATTTCTGAAAATGTACTGGTCTGGGTCGTCTATTGTAGCAAAGGAAATGTAAGATTTAAGCATTGCTACAGGGCAGTAACAAGAGCTGGTGCTTCTAATGACAACCGATCTGCCATTTCTGTATACATCGGTTTTACTGGTTGGTACAAACAAGTTCAGACCATCGGGAGTCAACTCAATATGCCCAAGCTTTATCTGGGAAAGTTCCTTAAAGCGTAAGAAACCTGAGTATGCTGGTAAAGACATGGTGACAGTTCTCAAGTTTAGTAGATTAGCTATCGTGTGACCATTTTTCCAACATACGTATGTAGCACTTGTTTGAGAATATCTGTTGTTATAGGTTCTTTTTTATTTACTGGCTTCACAAGAGATTTTTTGACCCCCTCTGCTATGAGTGAAACTATTGAAGACGAAGAAATATCATTAACACCAGCTAATTTATGTGCTCAAGAGATCGCTGCTACTGCTTTGATGATGGGGGCAGGAGAATTGGGGCATTTGCTCAAATGAACCAAAGAGCAAAATCAAATGGATTAGCCGGGCAAGATTCTTTATACCCAGCAAGAAATGAGACCGAGGGGTACCCCCCAACATGTCCAATCCCTGTACACATTCCAGACTATTGTTGCTTAACACATCCCCCAAGATGTCTGAAAGGAATTCCCCAGATTCCTGCGAGACAATGACCAACACAAAGCAGGGGGGTCTCTCCGTCTCGTACCTTGCTGATATGTGATTCCTTGCCTTGTTTAGATGCCCAATCCTCCCATTTTTATAAATGCATCCGACTATGCACAGTAGAACTGGCCCCTGCACTTGGCATGACTGTTGGTAACTGTGACGCCAGCTCCTGCAATTCTGAATTGCCCTCTCGCTGCCTCTGCTGCCAAACTCCTTTACTGAATATTACCTGTAATGTAGACAGGTGTGTACAATAGATATAAGTAAGGGTATTATAGTTTTTAACTTGTGAATAAATTAAGCACTGCAATATGCTCAACGCTTAAAATTTAATCTTATTGCCATTCTTACGTCTGATAATATTTGGTATAAACTCTTCATTACCACCTCTCCCATAGATTAATAATCCCGGGTATGGGTGAATCTCATCAATATCCTCAACTGCTCTAATTGGATTACAACCATCTGTAAAGAACAGGGGCCATATTGGTGCCGAAAACTAACAAGGACAAATCAAGGTTCCAACAGCTTTAGTATCTGCTATATGAAAGAGCACTCGAGGGGTTAGAGAAATTGGAGGAACGAGCCAATTGTTTTCTCTGCTCCAGTCTAGGGTAAAAGCATCTATATTCTCACAACTGGGGTTCCAAAACCTCAAATTAAAGCGCTGTAACTTGGTGTTGTAAAAACAGGCAAATCTGTCGATAGAATGGAAACTCCATAAAGCATCGAAATAACGATAAACTTCATTTGAAATGCTTCAGTCGTCGTTGTCTATGATGCCACTACGCCCGTCTGCTTTTTCATTCTTTGAACGCGGAATCCGCTCCATATCCAACTGGATATTGTACTCTAGACAAGTCGTGCAAATATGTGAAGCTAACTGTTGGAGTTCACTCCTCATGCTGCCGCATAAGGCAATCTTCTCTACAGCCTGGTTATCCGTAAACCACTTAGTCTTTCGGTAGGACAGTTTAGGGGATAGAGCACTCAACACCAGCTCAACAGCTTTCAGATCTCTCCATGTGCTGCTCTTCTGAGCTTCACTCTCATCCCATAAACCATGGGATATGGTATTGGCCATGTCTACTATATAGCCAGCAAACCCGGTGCTGCTAGCATCTGTGCATACAATACGTGAACAATCGGCACGAGGACCTAAGACACATCTGTTCAGTTTTGCGATGTTGTTTTTCCAACATTTTAATTCGTCCACAGCCTCTGTGGAAAGGGCTACTGCACTCGCCCATCCTGGATTCCATATACACGTGTGAAGTGCTTTGGTCATGACTCTCGCCACATTACCGGTAACCAAACTCGTCGACATGATCTTGCCCACAATGCTCTTAAATGAATTACTCTGGGTATGTATCCTGGAGAGTAACTCGACAACACTATTACTAATGTCAATAATACGCTTTGGTGGGACTGAAAAAATTCCATGTTCCAAATCAATTCCATAACCTAGCCATTCTCTTTTGGAAACAGGAGACCATACACTTTTTAGAACGTTTGGTACAAACCCAGAAGACAAAATGTCTCGTTTGACCTCTAAACTAACTCTCAGTGCCTCTTCTTAGGAAGTGGCAAATCCCAAGCCATCATCTAAAAACACCACAATGCATTTTCCCTTCCCTCTCCACTTTTTCACCAATGGTCTAATTATTTTGGTAAATATATACGGAGCGGAGGAAAGGCCGAAGGGCAGTTGTCAAAATCTGAAAGCTTCATTAAAACTCCAAGCAAAGCCTAAATATTCCCTTTGGGCCGGGCAAATATCTACATGGTGATATCCGGATTTTAGATCAAACTTGAACACAAACCCACCTTTTTCAAGAAAAGCATTGCTGTACGCATATCTTCGTACTTGACTTAGGATTTGTGGAGATGATCATTAACTAACCTTAAATCTAGGATGAGACACTTCTTCCCAGTATTCTGCGCCGAGACTGTAAGTGGACTCACTATTGTGGGTTGTTTTGGACATCTTTCTACGATACCCAAATTGACTAGTCTGTAATAGCTTGGTTTACAAACGGCACGTGAGACGGAGCTGATTTGTTGTTCTTGGAAAGAGAGGGAGGCTGAAGAATAAAAGGAATGACATAACCAAATTTTATGGTATTGATAATGAAATCAGGTGCAGAAATATTTTCCCCAAATCGGATATGATTAACCAATCTACCTGCAACCCTGATGGCGGATATTCCATTGTTTTCCTCATATTCACAAAAACATTCCGTTATTGAAAAGTCATTCAGGTCTGCTTGATTATCGGAACTACTCACAGTGGTCGACTTAACTTTATTGTGTATCAGAGGAGGTGGAGGCTGTACTGGCTGCACTACGCCTAGGACACGTGGCCTTCCAGTGGGCGTAACTGCCACATATGAAGCATGATTCGCCTGCGTAAGGTCTGCCGTAGGTTTGACCAAAGGGAAGGACTTGACCAGGTCGACGAAAAGACTGACTACCACCATCATTACTATCAACCTCTGACCCTTGGTCACGCTTGAACTTCGTTCTTTGCCTGCTACCAATTTTATTTTTAAAAATGCAATGTTACCCCGGTGCCGCTACTAACGTGAATGAAAGATCACGCCACTGGTCCTAAGCGAACCTACTTATGTTACGTAACATCCAACTGAATAAGCCATAGAAAAATCACGCACCGCGAAGAAAGTAAATATGCTCTAATTCACACCTGGTCGTTCAAATGAACATTTATTACTCCCATAAATATTATTTCATAAAACTAATCCTAACACAGAATAAAACACCAATGATCACACTTTTGGGTTCTGTCAGTGTATTTGGGCACCGGTGGGGCACCACGCCCCGCCCGAATTTTTGCACGCCCAATTTGAACGTTAAAGCAGTGCCATGCTGGCATAGAAGATTTTTCAGAACATCCTTGAAAAAAAGGGGGAAAAACTGGACGATAACTTAGCTTGATACTTGCTGGTTAAACTGAAACTGCCGCTGGTTTCCTTCCCTGCGCCATTTACTTTTCGTTGAGTCCTTAATCTTCTCCACTAGAGAATTTGTAGCCTTGTTGTGTAACTTTAGGAAGTCGGATCTCGTATTTCTTAATTTTTCATCGGATGAGGATACAAAAACTGCTAGAATTTCTTGTAAGTCTGCTTTAGTTGCTGGAGAAGAAGGTGACGGATCCTGGGTTGCATATCGTCGTGTAACATATTGGCAAAATGCAATGTTAACCCGGTGCCGCTACTGACGTGATGAAAGATCACGCCGCTGGTCCTACCCGAACCCACCTATGTTACGTAAGCCACGAATGCCACCTATGTTATGAATAAGCCATAGAAAATCACGCACCGCAAAGACAGTAAGTATGTTCTAATTCACACCTGGTCGTTCAAACGAACATATTCTTATGTCAGGAACGTGAGAAACGCAATGTCTTCTAATCCTACAGTGGAGTTCTTCAAGTTTGGTTAGTTAGCCAGAGGTGCCCTGCTAGTTGCTCATACACTGTAAAAAACATTGGTCAAAACAGTGATGGACATTTGTAATTTGCCCAACCTGGGTTAAAGCTACCACATTGTTGGTCAATTAATTTTCCGTCATTGTTGGTCAAACATTGACTAAATATTGGGACGAATTTGCCAAAAGGTATACGTTGCTAAGTAGATATTTTTACCAACATTGGGCACATATCAACCCAAAATTGACCAACCTTTTTACAGTGTAACTGATGGGCCTGTTGCCGTGCACAACTTGTAAGCGCAAATGAACCCTTCTGAAATTAATAACCACTGTGTGAAAGAATCTGTTCTTTCAATAAACCTTTAGTGACTTGTGTGCAAAGTAAGGTTACCGTACCGGTAGGCCTATAAACTACATGTGGGTCCATCAAGTTCCGTCTCAACGATCGAGTCGGTCCACTTCACTGCAAAACGAAAATGATGAGGATGAATGGCGTATTGCATTTTAAACTGCAAATTCGCACCCTTGTACTAACCTCGCCTTATGATAATGGCGTGTTTACTTGGGGCGGGGGGAAGTTGGCTTCGATAATAATTGGCTCAATAGTAAGTCACATGTTACATGTACATGTATCTACAAACGTCAACAACAGACCGCCGACCACAAAAAAAATATTGAAGTATTTCGGCTTAATTTGAAGACTGTCGGCTTAAAGGCGGGTTAAACGATTTCAGAGACGAACCTGAGATGAGAAGCGGAGTATCAGAAACCCCCCTTGTGGTCAATATCCACAGACAAAACATCAGGGGATTGCAATCGAGTCACAAACAGTGACGCGCGTCTGTCATATTAGCCAGCAAGTAGCACCGTACAGCTAGTTCGGCTGCACCGGCCGGCTTCGATCACCATACCGCCTACATGCACGTAACGCTTAGGAACGCCACCTGAAATGAAAAAAAACGTCTGAATTTACAAGCAAATGTCTCTGAAAGCATTAATATCTCATCTGAAATCAGAGGTCTATTACTTTTAATTAACAACATTTAAACATGGGGCCATATCTCCTTGATTCCAAAGCCATAGCTTTACTCTGTTAGTTCTACTGGCTGGAGCAGTACACAGCAGTAAAACTCTTCTTTTTTGAATTTTGTATGGGATTGGTCGTATTCGAAATTTGAAAAAGACGAGTTAGACCGAAAGCTTTATCCAATTTTTTTCTCACAGAGCCCGGTGGAACAGGAGATGAATACCAGAGGCATTCAAGGAAGGGGAGGAAGTTTTATGTATTAATATTCCAAAGGTTGGATGGGTTCAGTGGCGTAAATATGTGCCAGAAATTGGGGGACGGGGAAAGTGGGGGGGAGGACATAATATAACTCTATTTAGAGGTCAATGTACATCTGTAATATGTATTCGGGATACCATTTTCATGGCTTTTTAGTTTTATCATTTCAAAGTGATATTGAATGCGTTTTTGTGGAAATCTGAAAAAATTCTTCACAAGCCACGTTTATTTTCTGCTCACCACAAAAGATTGGGGAGAGAGATATATAGCCACATCCCCCTCCCTATAGGATTTACGCACATGGACAGGTTAGATTTTCTTCCCCCCAAAAATGCACACCATGGTTAATTTAGTTGGGTGCTGTAGAAGTCCTCATCTCTTCTTCAAATTTTTTTCTTATTGTGCTGCATGCAGTTGAGACCATTTCAAGTCTTCACAAGACCACACAAAATCAGCACAAGACCAATACGGGACGTCCAGTCTGAATTCAAGTCATAAGGTCTACAAGTGAACTGCAGCAAAAGCAGTCCTTTGTCATTGTTACTGGTCTCATGAATGTTCGTGTCTGTTCTTGTGATGGTGTTGACTACAACACTGCTGACTATGATTTCTTTTGTTTTATAAAATCATACGAAGAGACAAATACATGTAGCTTAAGCATCGACTTGGTTCTTGCATCTAAAGAGTGATGGATGCAGGGTCTTCGGGTGTGACTTTCAGTCTGGGACATTTTTACAACTCTTTATTAATTGTAATGCAAGTGTTTTGGTATATGCAATTATATTTCTTGTGCTTGCTTTATTTCCTGGCAAACAATCTGTATTTGACTTCTGATGAGTGAGGGATCACTTATTTGAAAAGCGTCCACAAAAAAAACACGGAATGGCAACTATCATTTTACCGGTAAACTGAGAGATGAAAGTGGAGTGCCAATCTATTTCAGTTACTTTGGAACATTCTTGAAAAGATGCACCGAACACTTTGGAATGATAGCGAAGAGTACAGAACGCAGACCTCTGTACATGTGGAATGTCACTGTGTTAGAGCAAGATGAGGGGTATGGAGGGCCGGCAAGAGGCCAAAGTGAGCTACAAGTTGCAGTTTGATACACACTGCAAATTTTCCTGGACTTGAAAAACCTGTGAAAAAAATCTACTGAAGTGAAAATCAGACTGGTGCTCTGTCTTATTGTCTGTCAAGGTGTGACTGAGTGGATTAGTCAGAAGTGATGAAACCTGTAGAAAGTGGGTGTTCAGTGCCGCATTCAAGGGAGTACAAATTAAGATACAATATAATACATACCTAAATCTTACGCTAGCAGCTGATAGCCATACATCTAAGACCTTTTATTGCACTGATGATGTTGATAGGTCTCTATGAAATGGCGTCACTTTCTTCTGATTGGCAACTGCATCTGCAGTTTGGACTTCAAATTTTTCTGACACACTTCAAAAAAGTTTGGATCAACATGCATGTATGTTTAGAACATTTGAGCACTCCACAAATGCACAAACACGCTTTTTACGAAGACGGTGTCTAGTGAGGGAGATGCACAGGATCAGTGGCGTATCCAGCGGGGCCTGGGGGCAACTTGCCCACACCCCCCAACAGTGTTTTTTTTTTTTTCAAATCATATTTCATAGGCGAGTAGGAAGGAAATCAGTACATTTTTTCAGATACATTTATTAGCACCGAAACCAACAAACAAAAGCAAGGATGTCAGGACAGTGAGTCAGGCTTTCAGTAATTTTTTCTCCAACATCGTGTTGAATGACCCTGTAGCCACATGCACTTTTGAATTTGCTGCCCCTGACACAAAAAGCTGGATACGCTGCTGTATGTAGGATGGCCGTAACATTACATGGGAGCTTGGATACTGCACAATAGATAGGCATCATGGGACATTGACATTGTGTTAACCATGCCCCCCCCCAACATCAAATCTTGGGTGCACCACTGCGTTTTTTTGTAATTTTCCAATCTCTCAATCTCTTAGTCACGCAGTTTCTACGCTCATCAAAGAGGTTAAAACAGTAATGATTACACTGTGGCCTCCCCGGGGCTTGAGTTTAGGGGAGAGAATGGAAAACATTTTTCATCTGTAATAGAATCCCATTACTCGCCCCTCTCTCTCTCCCTCCCCGAAATACTTGTACTTTTTCTAAAATGCTAGTGTTTCCAATTCCTAGCAAAATACCTTCAGGATGCACCCTCCCATTGGATATGCCACTGGTTTGATAGGCACATCTAACATACTAATACATGTCTTATTGTAAATGTTACAGTCTAGTTTGGACTTTCTTTATAAAGGCAGAATATAAAACTTGTGAAGTTGTTACTTGATGCAGTTGTCTGATAGTACCCCACCCCCCCAAAAAAAGCAGACTGGTGTTTTCTAGTCAGCCAAGGTGAATGGGTGTACATGTGGCTACTACATGCATCTAATACATTGTAACACCATTATAAGGTTCCTTTGAATTGACATATCACCTTTAATAATGTGTAATCTTGTATTGCCAGTCTTCCAAAACACACAAAACAGACTTGGGATCCGATTTTTTTTCCTTGTTAATGTTGCTTGTATTAATGGGTCCTTGACAGATTTTGACTGCACGTGCTACTTTGTAGCAAATGTAGGTACATGTAACTGATGGCAAACATTCATGCTTTTTCACACTAAGCAATTCTCTCGATCAACTCTAGGAGTTAAAATTGTCTCACATGTACCTCCTCAATTTAAACATAAAGCAAGTTTATATACATGTGCATGTAGTAAACTAACTCTACCATACGCCACCTAATTTTACACATGTAATGTGACAAAAATCTGCTAATGCATTTGATTTCTTACAAATCAACATTATAGCAAGCATGAGAAAGGGAATCGTACATGTATGTGTAAAAAAAAGTACAAAACTATTTCTGACACAGTTTGTAATACGATTTCCCCTGCTGTATGAATGAATAAACCTAATAATTATGCAAATTTTCTTCAAGAAGTGAAGTTTTCTTGCACATCGTGCCACTCATACAAAGGCAGAAATGGAGAAATACAGCATGCGGATACACTTTAAACAAACAAGCAGTTATAGCCCTTGAATTTACCAGATTAATGTTTCATACACTTTTTAATATGTGAAACTGAATGCACATACACTGTATAATGTTCTGGATACATGTATATTATGTAGAGGCCAGCTTGAATCAATCCCTGTTATAACTAGTACATACGCTTATAAATCATGATTTGTAACTAATCAATTCAAAATTTCTAAGAGCATCCAGGAATTGTGCACACGCCTTTATACAAAGTGTCAAAACCACTCTGCATTTTTCATTTTTTCAAAACTTGCAGCATCCAGCTTACACTGATTTAAAAAAATTAAGTTTTATTGCAACATTATTAGATTTTGGGATATAAAAAGTTATCTTGCTAAAAATGGGATGTTTTATTAACAGTGACCTTATTGTCACTGTTTGATTGTATTAGTTTAACAAAGCAGATAACCAACCAAATATTAGACTTCATATTTCTTGTGACTTATTTTCAGATGATTTTTGACCAGTACATGAAGTTACCTTCTGATCATATCTGCTCTACAGGAAATACTCCATGAAATTTGACCCAGCTGATAGCTTATTAGCGAGTGCCAGAAGTATCTGAACCTCTAACACCTGAGCGAGTGGGGTATTTCTTTCTTGATTTCAGTCTAATTTGAACAGGGTAGCCTGATCAGTTGTTTCACTGCTTTCTTAAAGGGTCCAGGTGAACACATTAAAAATAAACTGAATTTAAAGGTAAGTAACCTGGTAAAACAATAAATAAAACAAAACAACAAAAACAAAAAATATAGGATTTAGTTACAGAATTTAAAAAAAAAATCAACAAATTCACATAAATATGTGCGGTAAGCTTGGATATGGACTGATTAACAAAACTACAGGTAGGGAAAAGCAATCCAATTTGCTGGGAGTCTGCATTTCATGTTACACCAGCAAGGAGTTCAAGTTCATGGTGAAGCGGTACTTTGACTGTTTAAAATCATCCATATTATGGGGCAACTGGAATGGCTAAACTGTCCATGGTATTTATACAATGTATAACTTACGCACGTAATTTCTTTGAAAAAAGATTAGGGAGAAACATATTTCAGAATTCTTATTAAAAGCAAATTTACAGCCACACAACTACGACTTCACTTTTTATGTTTTTTGCTGTGACAGTTTTTTGAAGTACTTCTTTCTGGGATAAATGTATGGAGCATCAAACCATCTCAACACCCTTAAAAGTCTTGTTAGCAACTGATGATGAGGGATGCAGCAGACTGCTTTAACCTCTCCATAGTTGCATCAAACAATCTGAAGTCGTAATATCAAGTCACAAGCTATTCATACAGTGGCCTATTTGCAGAGCATAGCAAATTGCCCAAGGTACTCATTGAGTCGTCATATCCTTTACTTGTAGGGCTCATAAATATGAACTGTCATGCCTGACATCTAACTCAAAAACAGCCTTTGCGGTTCAAACAGATCAAACACAGCCATCAATGCTCATACATGTGCCCATTTATAATGTACACTCCTGTTTGGGTAAAGCTTCCTGCCTGAGGACACAACATAGACTAGCCCCCCCTTACATACACACCCAACAGTCAAGAGTGACAAAACCATCAGGCCAGACTTCCCAAATGAGTGGATGTTCCCTATTTCTTGAGATCCGACACTTCTGCTCAAAAGATTTCTGAATTGTGATCAAAGACCAGCCTGCAATCTTTCTTGTTTTCCTTCTTCCATGTTTCTCCCTGGTCTTCCACCCTCAGCAGGCGCAGGCACACTGGCTTTTTCTTGTTACTTTTAGAAATCATCCGATACACCGGCAAACAATCCTTTTTATGCTTTATAAACACTGCCAAGCGAACTACCTCTCCACTTTCATCTCGGAGGTCGCAGTGGAAGTAGTAACCAGTCTTTCCTTTCTGTGGTGTTCTCACATCCTCACCATCTTTCCATGCTATTATGTACCAGTTGTTATTTTTCCTCTTGGCTAGTTTCAGTGATAGATCAGCGATCTTAATTCGATCACCACATGCTATCAAAGGGGGGAAGGAAATCAGTCAGTGTTATCAAAGGACACATGGTACACCCTGAACTGAACTTTAATACTGGAGTATGTATCCCGGGCATTATTATTTTATTCTGCACCACACAAAAAATACACATCACAATAAAGAGCAATACAAAAAGCAGTACAATGGGACAAACTAGTAGCCATGCAGGAGAAACAAAAAGTCTACTTAAGACTGATGACCTGAAGGTAGCCTTTACTCCAATACCGTTAGTAAAAAAAATTACATATGTATATAAAAAGTAAAATTTCCCTTGAAAATTCCCTTAGCCCTAGTTCGATTAAAATTTGTATTTAACATATACATGTACATGTATATGCACAAAGGTAAGAAGTCAAAGCAATTGATCAATACAGACACTGAGGCACTCCCCCCAGTAAAGAAAAACAGGCACTGCAGTCAACAACCCCCCTCCCCCAAAACAACAATACATCTGAGGAACACATTAGCAAACAAAGTAGATCCCCAAAGCAAGTCTACAAAGCTGACAACTCCATTGACCGGCAAGGTAGATAATGGATCATGTCATGAAAAGAAATAACAAGTGCCCCCATCAAAAACCTTGATTAGGCATCATCCCATCTAAGCAGTTCTGACAATATTGAGTGCATCTGTGAGTCAACATTTCCTCTCAGTTGTTTTACACATTTTTAACACATTTTTGATTCACCAATCCTGAATAGTCAATTCTGATTGGTCCATTCATAGCAACAGTGTGATATATAACTTTATTGCGCTGTGTAAAGTGCTATTCCATCTCCACACATTGCCCTATTTTCTACACTAAAAAAAAAAACGCACAACTTCAAAGTTTACTGTAAATGCAAAGGTGATGCCTTTGCAAATGCCTCTATAACGTTTTACTGCACATGAAGTTTGCTTGAAGAAAAATTTGTTATCACATTCGCACTTTTGGAACATGCCACAGAAAGATGTATTTTATCTGTGTCCTGTATACCATGAGGCTGAATTTACTAGTCGGGGTGTGCATTTGCGGGTGTTTGGGAACTGGGTACCCATTTTGTCAATATCGGGTACCTGGGAAAGCTTAGACTAAAAAAAAAAAAAATCACGTAAATGGACGCAAGGCTGGCCTATTTTATCATACATAGGAAGCAGCACACGATTGTTCTAAACATTAGAGGATAAGCTCTCGCACTGTGACAAAATGGCTTCATCGATCTCATAACCTGATTTATGCCCGCAGCACGACGTTCCGGCACGATGATTTTTCAGCAGTTCTGCCCTTCACTGTTAAAATTTACACATACATGCATTTCATGCGTGGCTTTTTTTTTAACGGGTACCTTTTTTTACGGGTACCCGGCCTGAAAAAATGGAACCAAGTTTGATATCGACGGGTGGGTATCTGTATACCCAGGTAGTCAGGTAAGGCCTACACTCATGCCTGCATGATAACTAATAGTATTTCTCATTTTCTACACTGATAACTTGAGAGAAAAATCAGTTTCCAGACCTAAATGCGGTAAATAGATCATATCTATGAAATCTTAAGATTCTGTTTTATCAAGAAGCAACAGTTTTAGAAATTTGGGAGATAAATTTTCATCACTTTATTCAGAGAATTATTTGCCTAGGTAGTTAATGTTTGAACAAGACACTACTCAAAAGGGTAACCTTGAAATAAGTTGACATCAAGTATCTTACGTTGTTTAGGTGGATCATCTCTGTTGGCATCTCCTGGGCGTTTTCCTAGAGAAATTTTGGAAAATAACATCCTTAATGTCAACAAATTAATGTTGTGCAGTTCATGTCCATTTTAAAATTATCGTTTCTCCTATAAAAGCAAGTTACAGAATTAACTTCGCTTTTGAGAGGCATTGGGATTTCCAATCACATTCCTTTATTAATTTTAATCTATGGTTAAAATTGAAAACTATTTGATGAGATGGTGCTGGACTACTCTGTGACTACAGTGTGCAAAAAAAACCTTGTCACTTTTTAAGATGTACATGTAGCTCAAGGTACATGTATTTTACTCACATATTTTGAGTTGTTTCAAATTATTTACTGAATAAACAGGCACGATTATTGATTTGTAATGAACGTTTAGCTTATTGATACCGTTACTACTCTCGAGTTCCCAGGACTATAGAGTTTACCTCACTTTACACCTTTAGTTTTTATGTGGATGATTCATGAGTCACATGGTTCATGTATATTTAACTACTGATTTAAGTAGTAATCGCAGCTTTTGCAAAAGAGAGAACTTGGAGGGTTTACTTTAAAATTCCACATTTTATACCTGCGCATTTAGGTTCACCTGTGCCCAATTTCATGGCTCTGATTATTGTTAGCACAAAAACTGCTGCCAACCACACGTATGTCATAAAATTCTCTGGTTTACAGTTAGCCTCTTTCACAGGTTTGTACTCGCACAATACTTTGAGTATTATTATTATTAGGATAAGGATTATAAGGATTCTGTGCTTGCTCAAGTTTAGCTCCAAATTTTGTGCTGCATATATACCGGTAGAATATAAGTACAGAATTCTGAGTCAACAGAGCCTAAAACTTGGGTGGTGTTTTCAAGAATACAGCACTTGATACATGTTGGTGTGCAACTGAGGATTTCCATCAAATGTTGCCATTTTTAAAATTTAGACTGCCCTGTACTAGAGTGCATTGAGAAAGTTTCAGAAGGCAAGCACGTTACCTCCTAGATGTTGGAATAATGGAAAAGAGCACCAGCAGAAGGGTTCAGTGAAATGTTGACACTCCATGACATTTTCACCATTCCAAATGCAGTAAACAGTACACACCTTTTGCCTTTTTATTCACTTTGGGAGGTGGCAATGATGAACAGCCGGCTCCTTGTTCATCATTAGGTTTCAGCGGAGCTTTTTTTCCTAGTAACAATAAAAAGTTATAATTTGGTGTTGGATTTTAAGGAAAAATAGATCAGTAACTTTGAACTACATTTCAACTTTTACCTTGATTAGTGAGAACCCATTTGTTGAAGGAGGCAAACTTTTTAACAATAACTATTCTGAACTCCATTTTGAACAGGGCACAATGTTGCATCACAATACTTCTCTGTAAGGCATGAATATGTACAAGTAGTTTCAATTCAGAACTGTGAAATTTTGTTGATTTTATTCAAGGGTGGAAACACGGGAGTGCAATGGCAAGCCATAGCCCCCCCTCCCCGAGCAAACGGTCTTTAATGAAAAGTAATGAAACCAAATCTGTTGGCTTTCTCTTAATTTCTGCCAATACACATAAAAAGCCCCCAAATGTAGCCTCAACTCCCAGGAAGGCTGTAACGAGTCCCCCCCCCCAAAAAAAACCCAGTTTTTTCCCCCTTCACATAGCATGTTTGTCCTCCCCCCCAAAGGAAATTATTTCTTGATCCATCCTTGATTTCATTGGGATGTTCAGAACTTCTACACATAATTTCTGTAAAAACAGAAGTATCAATTGTGTGACATTCTGCTTATAAAACAGTGCTTGCCCAATTTTTAGTGCATGTGCTGCTGTGTTTCTCTCCCCCAATATGCATTTAAGCGCAAAACCAAATCTGAAATATGAAGTCATCTCTAAAACTGCAGAGACCAAATTATTTTACTTTGATCAGGACTTTTGTCATAAAAGGAATGGAAAAACAAAACCAAAAAGTTGGGAATTCACAGAATTTGCTCAGTATAGAATTATTTTGACAATGTTCTTCGTATTAAATGTGGACTGTGCTTGTATTTCATTATGTCATGACTTTTCTCAACCCTACTTCAGTGATTTAAATAGGGTCAAACAGTGTTCTGTATAAAATTTTATCTTTTTGAGTGTTGAATGCACAAACTGGAATTAAAAAGATATTGAAAGCCCAGCTTGCCTCCATCCATGCTGCAAAACCAGCAATCTACTTAAACCAGTGAAAGTTCTCTCCAATTCCCTTGGTACCTCATTTGAAAAGACCAAATGCACAACTCGGTGTGTGGTTTTGAAGTTAGGCTCCTAGCAGTGTTAAACCTACGGGACCCGTGCAAACATCTCAAAATACCTACCAGGTGTAGTCGGTGGTATGGCATCACCTGCCAAGTCGCACACATCTTCCCCACTTTCACTGCCGTCACTCTCACCATCCGAGGGGCTGATGTTCTCTGAAATCAAAATTCAGCTGCTATCAACTCGCTTGAACAATCTAATTCTTTCAAAGAGGTTTATTGTTTGGTAAAAGATTTTTCTTTGCAAATTAACTACAAATTTCCCGTTTTACTTGTGCTCTTACTTGCCAGTGCAAGGACATTCTAAATCGTTTCATAAAAGGGTATGATTTACACCACTAAAAAGACTGAATGAAGAGAGATTAACATTACCATTTCATCCGTTGGAATAAACATACTTTGGCAAAAGTCTAATTTTTACTTTAAACACTTTTAATTGAATGCACCAAATATGAATCCTTCTCAATGTTGCATGCCTCAACTAATACTGAGCAAGCACACAGTAAGTGCATGGTACATGTACAAGGCTTGAAGGCGTGCCATGCATGTATCCCCCTTTTCAGTGGAATTTTGTTGCATTCAAGGAGCAGAAAAAACACCAGAATACACGCTTTATCTAGACCTCAACTTGCACAAGATCTGCATTACCTTTCTTGCACATTTCAAGGTCCAATTTCATGGTACTACTTAACAGTTACCAGAAAGGTCTTGCTTATTGTTGCAGAAGATTTTGCAAATTGTGCACACCATTTCATGGCGTTGCATGGCATGGTTTGTGCTTGCGAATGTGTGCGCACTGAGTAAATTTATCCCAAGGTATAGCATGCTTTTTATACAGCTTATATATTTCATGGAGGCCTCGCTTAGCAGCGCCATGATATTGGGCCCAGAAAATAGTAAAGTTTTGGTAAAGCCGTGCCAAATAGAAAAATGCACTTACACAATTTATAAAAATCCTAAAAAAAATCTACTCCTAAAAACAGAGAATTTCACTTAATCTGTTAGACAAAACCATTTTATTAGAAACATGAAAGAATTAAAGTTTCTTGACAAGCTTCAACAATAAAGACAAATGTGAACTGTAGCTACACATACATGACATACATGTATGTCTTTGTAGCGCACACAAAATGTAGTATGCATGTGAAGTTGTGAAAAATGACTGATAAAACTCCAAGAGGAATTTGAATACCTTTTGTAGACAGCTCATCATCACTGCCTTGTGCACCATTGATTCTACTGACATCCTCTGGGGGAAAAAATAGGAGAAAGGAGGACTCAAAATGCAGAACTCCAGAAAGTTTCAGCAGAATTATGAATTAAAGATTAGCAATAAGCATTACATTTACAAACAAGACTACTGGTTTTTGACACATAACCCTCTCAACCTGAGTTGAAATCGACCCTAGATGAACCCCTGGCAGCCATAGGATGAGTTTTTCTATTCTTCAAGCCCCGTACCACCCTATGTCATCTCACATTTGTTATTTTTGTTTTGAGCAAACAGAGTTTGTTTCACGCAGGGTTGACTTCAACTCAGGTTAACCAGAGGGATTTACAGCTTGTGCAGCATCAACCTGGGAACAGAACTTGCTGTAAGCTACATGTACCTCTTCTGAAATACTGTAGTACCTTGTTTCTAAAGCACACCAGCCAACTTGGCAAACATGTTTGCAAGTTTTCCATTTGTCATTTTTGATTTGCTGAGTATGATACCACACTGAATACAGATACAAAGAATGAAACTTGAGAATGGTGGTGTCCGAAATTTGAATTCAAATACAACAGTCAGCCTTAACCCTAACCCTACATTATACCACATATTACTACTTGTAGTAAAATGTAGTACTGAGCACTGTCGCTTGTAAGAGGACATGACATCATTGTTCTGTGAAGCCATAAGATACAGTAGATAAGACAATGTATTATTCAGTGCTAAGCCATAAGATACAGTAGATAAGACAATGTACCATTCAGTGCTGTGGCACTATGAATATTGTTATCTGTACAAGTAACAATGGAAGTAACCTAGCCAGACGTAGTAATCTGTAGCGCTAGGTCCTTCAGGCTCAGGCTACTACCTAGTATTTTGTAGTACTGTGTAGTGTAAGCCAAACAATATGCTTGGTGGTTAGGGTTTATCTACATGCTGATAAATATCTGTCAAAGCAACGACCTTTACACAAGAAAGTACTCACAGACACAACTTAGGGCATACTCAACCTTACTCATTTCATGCTACCGTTTTCAACCAAGGCCCAAGTTTTTTAGCTTGGGTTCAAAATCTGATCCCTGTTATCCAGCAGGACTGACTTCAGACTAGGGAGAAATCAGACTCAGGGTGACTTGGGTTGGAAATCTTTGCACAACCCCCCATTTGTCCAGTGTGAAAGGGCCTCACAACAGCTAGAGGCTCCTGTTACAAAGCTTGTAATCCAAGAAGAGATAGATGGAACTTGAGGATGTTAAGTGCAAGGGCTAAGTGATAAAATAGCCTCTCCCTCTAGAGTACATGTATATCTCGGTACTTACTCTCTTGGATTCTCCTTTTTGCATTTTTGTCCGTGTCAATTTTCATCTGCTGAGTATCAGGTCTTTTCCTCGTTCCTGAATCAAATTGGTAAAATGTACACAGTGAGAAAACTGTCACATGCGGCCCGCTCTGCCAAAATGAGCCACTTTCGAGTTAGAGGACTTGGAAAGAATCTTGCAGTATTTAAGTAATAAGAGTCATCAACATTTTAAAATCTACACAATTTTCATCATTCCAAACTGAGTGACGCATCAACACAAAGCGCTCAAATTCCTTGATCTACCATAAAATAAAACTCAAAAGTGGCTCCGGTGACTCATGACTCATTTTCACTGAGTGGGTTGCACAGGAAGCCTATTCATTAATCATCCAAAACATACACCCTACCAAAATTAGAGTGGAGCTCCTATTTGTTTGACCGCACAATTTCCTTTACCTTTCAGTTGATGTGGGGTTGATGCAGTTTCCTTTTTCTCCCACATTTGGCTGCTTGATGCCCCATCACTGGCTGAAGTTGATGAAGAAGAAGTACCACAGTTAGCTGCATCAATGCTATCTGCACTACCTAATTGTATAAGTATTTAAAACATAAACAGCAAAAACCAAAATCAAGACGGCCTGAAACACCAGTGCCATACATGGCTTAGAATCCAATTTGACATGGTAAGTTGGAGAAACAATTCAGTGACAATTTCTGGAAATGCTGTGAAAGTACTGATAAAATTTCTTGAAATAAGCCCTGACCAGCACATTGTATGCAGTTGGTACTTGTCCTATGTAAGTATCGGCATCAGCGTTGGATGCTCAATGTGGTTCTGTATGAAACCAAAGCTTTCAAGTAGTTGTAAAATAATTTGAGTCGCAATTTTGATAAAAACTTGACCCCCACAACTTCATGTTTGTGACCACTATCAACCCACAGCTTTATTAGGATTTACGTGACATCATGAACCAAAAATAGCTCCAAAGCTCAGTGGGGAACTACAGGGGGCACATATCCCCCCCCCGAGGATGCCTGTGCTCCACCTCTCCCCAAATCTTTTTGACTGGCCTCTTATACGTGCCCGACACACACGCAAAGACCGGAAAGCACACCTGCACACATTGCACATAAACTTGCTTGCCCATGCAATATTTCCAACCAAAGGACCGTCGTTTTCCTGTAAACACATCCTCTCATTTTTCAGCAGAGTAGTTTATGTACCTCTTTGTAGGAATTGCCGGACATCATCTGCAGCATCCATTCGGGAAACGGTAGGATCCTCCAGACCCTCTGTTAGGATGGTGGCCCAATTCTCAGGCTCTCGCTGCCGCAGCTGACAGAGCATCATAAACTTCTGCTCTCCAACATCGTTATCATTCCACTTAATCCTTGAGATTTGGTCGCAGCTAAAACGACAGGCGGTGGCTAGTGGCTGCCAGCATGACACCACCTGCAGTTGGCGGAAGAACTTCTCACACTCAATTTGACTGAGACGTGGCATCATAAGACTGCAAACAAAACAATAAAGAAAACATTATTGAGAGTTTCCACTTATTCCTGCTTGGTCAAACAATATCACGGTATGGAACCCAAGGGGATCATGTCCGTGTGCAACAGAAATTGCGCCCAAGATGATAAGCAGGTGTGTCGAAAATGTTCAGTACGCCGACACGAAATTGAGTATACGGATGTGTGGCTAAGGATGGATTGGGAGTGAGAGTCCGTGCCACACTAGTAGTGGGGCTAAAACTAAGCAAGGGACCTTGTAACCATTTGTACTGTATGCCCAGCCCTCCCTTCATGTCCTTCCTCCTAATGTTACACTTTAATTAATCAATTGTCACCCCCCATAAGCATAGGCCTACATGTAGGCCCTGGCATCCCTGTCGCAGAACTCCGAGTCCTAACGTTAGTGCTTGGAGTTTTGCAAAGGAAGCAGCAACAGGACTGCCATGACTGGGGTCAAGCATGTCAAGTAATTAGTCTAGACCATGGTAATATTATTATTATTATTCTTATTATTATTTATTCATGCCAAAAATTCAATATACATCACAAGCAAGATGGGCATAGGGGAGACAAAAGTAATAT